CACTGTGACCTAGAAAATCTATTGTGGTCTATATAGGTATGTTAAAACAAAAGATTATAGATTTATCAATAAGGATTATAAATATTATACATTGTATTTTTGTAGAACACTCACAAGTATTATATTATATATTGATACGTATTAAAGCAGCTGGAGATCTTAAAACAATAAATTATGCAATAAAATGTCTGACTTATTTTAACGAACTATTAATTCCAATCATGATATGAAGTCAAAGCTGTATGGTTCAGCAAGCAATCCGATTGCTGAACCGTGAGATTGTTGCGAGATATATCCAATGTAAATCAATACCAAAATAAGTTAATAGTTCTATTATTGTTAATGACATGTATCAGTAATTTGCGAAGGGATAAAGGCCATAAGATCTTTAATCGAAAACATCAAAATACTAGGAACACATACAAGCTTGTAACGCCAGTTACTAACTCGTTCATGGGGCGGTATGTATTTATATATTGTTCATATTTGTTCTGTATCTGCTATACCTAAGGATTTCTCTCGGACTATGTTTACTAAAATTTGATCGCAAATTACTTGTTCCATGGCACAAATCATTTGATGTGACATCAACGCCGGGCAACTTCAAACTTTAGCGATGTCAGAGCCAAAATTCACTTAAGTAAATTCACGTAATTAAAGTATTAATCGCCTTTCGGTAAAATTTAATGTGACCGTTTAATTTTTTTTAAAAATCTCGTACATTGTATTAACTGATGTTTGCGCTTTCAGTCCCGAGACTACTAAAGGTTCATCTGACGTAGAACCGGTGGGCTAGCCAGAACCCACAGGTTTGGGCCTGGCTAGTGCACAAGTTGTGTGTCAGAAAATATTTAATGTAATTAATGCCCAATATGTTCTAATTTATTTACAAGAAGACGAATTCTACTTGATACAAAATTTCGTTGGAAATATTTCACGACGCATAATCAATGTCCCGGAAGGGCTTCTTTGTAGTACTTCTATTTCAGACAATAAATATGAATATATAGTGTCTGACTTACTATTGAGACGGGTTCTCCCGAGGGCAAAGCTTGTGATATTCTCAAGGAACTTTCCCCATAAATCCTCGGCGTATATGATGCTTGTTTTGCATTATACAAGACTTTAGTTGGCTTTGTTCCATATGTTTGACAGGTGGGTCGGGGGTCAAGATATAAAGTGTTTAGCATAAAATGCATTGTAAAAGTTCCAAGGATCTGTTAAAAGATAATTGTTTAACATGATATAAGATTAAATTCCTCACTTATTTATTTCATAAGGGGAAAAATATGTACTCTTGATCTTCTGTGAGGTCATAGTTCTTTCTATACTGGAATTGTGAAAAAAGTACTATAAAAAATTTAGTAACCAAAAACGTATATAACAAAGCTTTGAGTTTACGTAATCATCTAACATGCTTGTTTGGATCACAATTTCACCAAATAAAGACTTACATAGATTCGCATGTTTTAGGCCATACTCAAGCCGAGGTCCAGATAACATATTATTTCCTGTATTGGTTCATAAAACGTTAAATCTAAAGTTGAAGCGCCTTGGGCACGAAATTCTTTCAATCGATAGGACTTTGACCCCTAATGTTAAAATTTTATTGCGATATTTCAAGAAATAAGGTTCCGTTGCCTCGCCTTATTTACGATAGTACAAAAGGAATCATTTCATTAAAGTAAAAAACAGCATTTAATTTAAAAATCAACAAAATGTAGTTTATAAGTATATTTAAAATATTAACATACGAATCATTTTAGCTATTCACACAATAGTAAGTTTCTTTGATGAAAAATATTATAATTTATTTTTCCTTAAAACCTTTATTAATCACAATACTTTACGCTCTTTTAGTCAAATTAAATATAAGATATTTATAATTTTAAAATACAACAAAGATCCTTTTCAAATCAGGAAGATAGCTTTGAAATATATTGCGCCATTTGCGAGCACGACGGCAGGTTATCTCGTCCCATACATTTTTAAGCAGGTGAATGGTTAGAAGCCATATAAAGATATTCAGTTTATTTAGATTCTTTCTTATTTAATGTACTGAAACAGTGAAATACATTTTCGTTACTAAATATGACGCAAAATAATATAAGGTGGTATTTATTATTTCTTCTCTCCGAAGTGATATTCATAAAAGGTTTGCGTTACTATCTTGGTTTCAAAATACAATATAAATTTAACTAATTATACTATATAAGGATATTAAATTTTTTTTATAACAAATATAGCGGCTTATAATAAAATAAATACTTAATTTATAGTATTTTCTCATATCGACATAATAAGTATGTGTTTACTTTTGTTTCTTTCCGTTGGAGCTACAACCCTGTGTACAGCCCCTAGAAAAGGCCTTTTCTACAATATCCCTTCATTTGCCTCGAAGCTTAACTGCCCTTCTCCAGCTGGTGAACTTTCGGATCCTCCTCAAATCTTCCTCTACATAGTCGGTCCAATTGATTCTAAAAATATTTAATTTTAGTTAAAATATTTAGCTCCTTGTCCGGGCGCTCGCTTTTAATTCTATATACTCGAACAACCTGAGTGCAGACTAATCACGTGCTCTGTGGTGAAGGAAAATATCGTGAGGAAATCTGTATATTTTTGAAACAATAACAAAAAAAATATTTCGAAGATATGTGAAGTCAGCCCAATCCGCAGTGGGGCCGCATAGTGGACTATGCCCTGATACTCTCTGTACAGAGGAGGCCCAGCAGTGGGACATATACAGGCTGTATCTTTGTTTAATATTATTGTTTAAGAACTCTTGGCAATCCAATGCTTGACTGACTTAAACCCGGTCACCCATTCATATAATGCTCTTGTGTGAGATATTTGCTAGCTGAATCACCGCAGACTGTTGGAGTTGGTACTTTTTATATTTTGTGATTACATAAAACTTTTATTATAATTTATATGCCTGCTATAATTCGTATAGTCTAGATACCATAGTCCTTTTAATCGTAGACCGTAAATAATTCTTAATTGTGTATCGTGACGCAGTCGTTAAACAGGTGGTTTACAATTTATTAATATTTAGTATTTAAAAAAATGTTATTTAAATGAAAAAAAAAAGAGACTTGTCTGTAACTTTCAATAGCATATGATATATTTTTTATATTACAGTAGATGGAATTCTAATTACCAAATAAAATTTATTAAATATTGATTGCAAAATGCTGCTAGGTTTTAGATTGCTATCAGAAGTTATTAAAATAAAGGTTAACTAATTACATTGGGCAGAAAAGTCTCTCTAAAATGCCTACTCTTTGTTTAAGTACCTGTTGCTTATAACTATAACTAAAAATTTGTCGTCAACATTACTACATTCAAAGAAAAAAATTAAATTAATAAAATTTTTGTATAGAAAAAAATCAACTGAATAAATAAATTATATAAGCTAAGGCCATTTGAGTAAATAGTATATGTAATGGCGCGTTTGCATGGAATCGATATAAAGCTAAAGTTATTGGTAGTAAAACATCAAACTGTTTAAAACTACAAGAATGGTGAAGTTTATTTTTCTTTTTCGTGTTTTAACTACGAGGCTCTTATCTGTAATTCCAAGCGGTGAGACCATATTTTTTCACTATTGTTGACTCAGTAATGTAGATTTATTCATAGTATGTTGAATGTATGCATAAGTATTGAACAAATACAGAATCAGTATTTAATTTAATATTTTCTTAATCAGAGAATTGTGGAGAAAATGAAATTTACGATCCGTGTAGTGAAATAAGTTCCCTGCAAGACTACGAAAGTATTGGGAAAACAAGCAACTGTCAATTAGGCACATCGCAGAAAACGCCGATAATTTGTCAGGGTTCTTGTGTATGTAAACCTGGATTCATCAGAAATAAAATAAACGAATGTATATCGGAAGATGATGCCTGTAAGTGTTTTTAAAAAAATATGTATTAATTCAAGGTACCGTTGTATAAAAATATTAATTTTGAGCTCTTTATAAATACTGAGTAATAATTTATAAGAAATAATTCAGCCAATTAAATCAGAAAAATGCACATATTACTGAACTGAACTTATATTGCTCGTAGCCTAAGTTATTCTGCAGTTTTTTTTGAAGTCTTCTCTTACTTTCCAAGGTCCTTCTTTATTCCGTCTCATATTCGTTACATTAATCATCAATGATGATTTATGCACAAGGACATAAATAGCCCCCTTAGGGTCTTCAGTGAGACTGTGAAATTTTTCCGTATCATGCGTGTTGGTGAAGCACTCGAAGCTTAGGTGTAAATCTACAATAGCAATAAGTAATGTGTTTAAATTAGTTAAGAACTATTTGCAGCAAAGTGTCGGGGTCCTCATGAATACTTTTCTTGTGGCGGAGCCTGCGATAATATTTGTGCCACACTTCAAGAAATGAATCAAACGAACTGTCCGATAATAAACATCAAATGTAACTCAATGTGCTACTGCGAATCGGGCTTCGCGCGCGATTCCAATAAGACATGTGTTCCCATAGAACAATGTGAAAGTGAGTACAGAAAGCTCAACGAATTCTTTTTTTTCTTTTATCTTATGGAAAAAAGGGGCAAACGGGCAGGAGGCTAATCTGATGGAAAGTGATCACCGCCACCCATGAAAATCTGCCATACCGGAGGGCTTGCAAATGCGTTACCGGCCTTTCAGCTAAGAATATGCTCTCTTCTTGAAGGTTCCCAGAGCGTAATGATTCGAAAAGACTACTGGCGAGAGTTGCTTCCACAAAATGCTTGTGAAACGCAGAAAATGCCTTAAAAATTGCACTGTTGTGGAACGCTGGACATCGAGGTGAATTGTTTACGCTGAAATATGACGAGCCGCATAAGTTTTTGTAAAGAAATAGGTTCTTTATCTTTAATTACTTTGCAGAACATTGAATTTTGCTTAGTAAGATGGATGTAATATGTTATAATGTCGGTTTATTTGATAAATTTTATTTAGAAAAATGTGGACCGAACGAATTTTATAATCGATGTTGTGAAATGAGTTCAACACAAATTGGAAAAGGGAAAAATTTAAAATTAAACAACGGGACGAAAACGCCACAAAACTGCCAAGGATGTTGCGAATGTAAGCCGGGGTTCACCAGAAATAAAGTAAACGAATGTGTATCCGAAGAAGATGCCTGTAAGTGTTTGTGTATAAATATAAATAAGTTTAAGCTGCCGTTGCCTAAAAACATAAATTATAAGCTATTTATAAATACTGAGGAGTAAATAAAGCAATTATTCAGCCAATTAAATCAGAAAAATGCACATAATACTTTGGACATATGTTACCAACTATGTTTTTTGAACTTATATTGCTCCTAGCCTAAGTTATTCTGCAGTTTTCTTTGAATTCTTCTCTTACTTTCCAAGGTCCTTCTTTATTCCGTCTCATATTAGTTACATTAATTATCAATTATGATTTATGGACAAGGACATAAATAGCCCCCTTAGGGTCTTCTGTGAGACTGTGAAATTTTTCCGTATCATGCGTGTTGGTGAAGTACTCGAAGCTTAGGTGTAAATCTACAATAGCAATAAGTAATGTGTTTAAATTAGTTAAGAACTATTTGCAGCAAAGTGTCGAGGTCCTCATGAATACTTTTCTTGTGGCGGAGCCTGTGATAATGTTTGTGCCACACTTCAAGAAATGAATCAAACAAACTGTCCGATAATAAACATCAAATGTAACCCGATGTGCTACTGCGAATCAGGCTACGCGCGCAATTCCAATAAGACATGCGTTCCTATAGAGCAATGTGAAAGTGAGTACAGAGAATTCTGCTAATTCATTGTTTGCAGTTAACAGGATGACTCATATTATTATTTGTAAAGAAAAAAGTACGAAGAGGATAAGTAACAATGGATTCTGCGGTTATCTAAAAAATATGTTTAAAAATAGTTACATGTATAATAAAGAATCTAATCGACCTAAATTGTGTAAAAAAGTTAAGAGTTTATGCTCAGATCAGAGATACTTGACTTGACACCGACTCCAAAAATTGTTAAATTTTGTTAGAGGTTAAGTAGTTTAGGTTATATAGTTAGAATTTCAAGATTTTAATTTTTTATATTAGATTTGGTATTATTATAAACTTTTTAGTGCTAATAGAGTTTTTTGAAGTCGGTCCTTTTTTTGTTAAAAAAATTTTACGTCAAGAAATAAGTTCTTTATAATTATATTGCAGAGCGTAATATAATGAGAAGAAATCAAAATTATGATATTTATATTTTGCATAAAACTTAGACAGAGTATGTCTCTAAGTTTTATGCCAAAGCAATTCTTGAAACTGAATTAACGTATCTTCCTCGCTTGAGTCCTGTTTGTAAATACTGTGATTTTTATGGATTGATTACATCGTAAAACATCTAAAATGAATTTGCTGTTTGTTCCCAAAGAGGGTTGACATCGGGTGCCATTACGCGTTGGCTTGCAGACCACCTCTAGCTGGGATAAGGGCAGGAGGATTATGATTTGTTTCATTCTTTTGAAGATTTATAAAGCTACTAAGAATTATGATGCGTTAATGACATATCTTTAGATATAATTTATATACCTTTAAAAATTGATAATACTGATGTTTGGACATATTTCTAGAAAGCTTATTTAATATCATTTGCCATACTAAGAGTAAACAACATCAAGTCACGATAGCATAATTGTATTGATTGCAGCCAAAGAACTTCAACTGAGTGGAGACGAAAACGAAAGTTTGAAGCATGGATTAGCACTGTTCAGCATGAAATTATTATATGTAAGGTAGTTTGAAATTACATGAAGTGTTACCGGAAAACTTATGAAATAATTTTAATTTCTGTTTCAAGGAATTAGTGAAGGATAGCATAGAAATGAATTATGTTATTTCTCCAATGGCGCTGTTTTTTCCCTTATCTTTATTAGCTCTTTATACAACTGGATCTTCAAACGCACAACTGTTAACAGCTTTAAATGCTCAGAACAATGAAGAGGTACACTTTTATTTAATAAAAATATATTATTAAAAAGTTTTCTCTTTTAATAACAAACTTATGAAAAAAAATTCTTGGTCTCTATAAGCTACTTTAAATTAAATAATGTGAAAGCTCACAAGATTTTATATATACACCTATCCATTTTTGCTTATGAAAAATTATTTGTTTGCAGATTCGAAAGGGTGTTTCTGGTTTTTCTAAACAATTGAAACAAGATGACAAGTTGTTTTTAGCAGCAGGAGTTTTTGTTGACTTGAACTTTGAATTAAATAAAATGTTTATCGAGGACTCCAAAAATGTCATTAATACTTTACCTCAAAATGTGGATTTACGGAAACCGACATTAGCAGCTGACACAATAAACGCCTTTGTATGCATGCAATCGGCCAGAATTATTACTTATCTAAATTGTCTTATTTCAAAATTACACAGAAAGCCCGTTCAACCAATACATCTCTAAAATTGCTAATTATGTAAGATGTGTATGCGTGCGTGCGAGCGTGTGTGTTTGTGTCGTATGTGTTAACTTGGAAGTGATGTAGGTTTTTTTACAAATATGTATGTATACAACGGAAGACTTTATCATAACCGTCATGCAATGTTTAAATAAAATCCTATAAAATGTACAGAGCAATTTCGTTTTATGTGATTTTAATTTGTATTCAATATGCAGGTGGCGTCACGAACTAATGGAACCATAACGAATATGATAAATCCTGACACAATAAACGAAATGACAAAATTGATATTAATAAATACACTCTATTTTAAGGTAATACAATGTATTGGTAAATGAGAAGAAAATGTTTCTTTACTGTAATTATTAAGTTTACCTTATTGCAGGCAAATTGGACTAGTCAATTTAATGAAAGAAATACGAAAAAACGGGATTTCTATATTACTAACGATAAAACAATCCAAATCGATTTTATGTATAAAAGAGGAATAATGAGATATGGAGATTGTCCAGGAATTAACTCTAAGGTATGATTTATTATTTTATTCTAGGATGTTGCCCTGTTTTATTTTGAATAGTAAATACTATACTAGTTAATACCTTGATCAACTAAGCCCCAACAATATCCAATTTGTATGTGAAGTGCTGAAATTTGGTCAGATTCCTTGAAGACTAATCTTGGCCAGTTGTTCAATGAACAGGCTTAACCAATGCTATCTAAGGCCATACCCGTACCTTTGGGCACACAAGTTTATGGTGGCTTGTTGGAAAGTAAAAAAGTTTGTTTTAGTATATACTGGGCTTAACGTATGTACAGACAAATCCAAAAGGTCAGTTAAACCATGATTTGTATCCTCATTAATTCGAAATGCACGAAATTTTAAATATTTCGCTGCTGTGCTACTATGGTAGTTATTTAGAGCAAATATATAGTAATAAAATATATAATAATATAATTTGGATGAATAGCTAGATAAACTTAGTGATTCATCCAACCTTTAAAGCCACGCTTTATAAGCTGTGAATGAACCGGCTCAGCCGGGGAAATACCGTCACATCAAAAAATGTTCACTCCACTAAAAGTACCAACTAAACCTGTATTTATGCGTTTTCGTAAGTAAACTTATCAGTCCTTTTGAGATACATGTAGATAAACCATTCAAGATAATTATATCAGTAGAACTAGAAATAAGTATGTAATGCAAGTTTTAATTTCAAGGCACTGGAAATCGCATACAATGGTGAAAACTTTAAATTTAACCTATTTTTACCAAATGACAATGGAAGGACTGTACTGTTAAATTTAATAACAAAATTAGATCAAGATACGGATCTGATGTATAAATGTATCGATAGTTTGAAACCTACACCCCTTGATTTATATTTACCAAAATTTAAAATAGAATCAACAATAAATCTTGTGCATTTATTACCAAAAGTAAGTATTATAATTATAGTACATAACTCGTGTCATAGTCTTTGAGGAACGTAAATAAAGTTCTTCATAATATCACGAAAAGTTTTTTCAAAGTACGCCCTTGTTTCTTACATGAATTATAAAATTTTTAGTTATTGGAATATTGGAAATTGGAATCGATTCGAACCTTAAACGCATATTGGACCTCATACAAATATAATCTAATATAAACTTAAATAAAAATTGTGTGTAGGCGGGTTTTAAACGAATTTGTAAGCATTTTTACGTCTAATAAATAATGGAAAAACATACATTTTAGAATAGTGGTAATGTAGCGAGAACGATACAGATATACAGATTTTTTTGGTTTACGATAAATTTATTTTGACTGCCAATTACTGAACTTGAAAATATAACATTCGACAGATATTTGATAATATTTACAGAATGCTTATTTTACAAACTACTAAGTTAGCCATCGGATTAATACTATTTATACACATCGAAGAGTTCCATTAGAATTATTGTTAAAATTAATATGATACACCTTAACAGTTACATTATTTATTTTATTTATTCTAACCTTCAATATTTTCAGCTTAACATTAGCTCAATATTTGATCAAAAAAGTTCAGGAATCACAGGAATTTCAAAAAATTATCAAGATCTATGGGTGACGGACGCCTTGCAGAAGTGTTTCATAATCGTTAGCGAAAAAGGTTCAGAAGCAGGTGCGGCTAATGGTAAGTTCATTACTAAAATGTACAAAGCACCCTTAAGTTGATTTTACAAATAATCAAGTTTGTTGAATTTGATAGCTTATTTATTTTATTGTATTACTTGTTTAAGTTGACTAAAATATCTCTATAAACAAATATATTGTTGCGTTTAAAAGCACAATATTTTTGAGAATAGAGGTCACTCAATTAAGATTTTAAAACAATATCTTTATATTCTTTTATACTGATAATCAACTTCAAGAAATGTGTTAGTAGTACTTCTCGCAATATAGTTGTATCCTTTTTAGTACAAAAAGGATACAACTATATTGCGAGAAGTATTAGTAAAAGTATCTATATATCACAAATCTGTGGTCTAACTCTTTTGACGGTTTAAATTTTTACAGATGATGTATTTCTGTTGCCGCTATAACAACAAATACCAAATAGACACTTTTTTTGCCGTTTTTATAGATAATGGTTCAGAACCCTATGAGCGCGAGTTCGACTTACACTTGGTCGGTTTTTTATGTGAAAAGGTGGCAAAGGAGCTGTCGGTTCACCTGATGTTAAGTGATAACCGACGCCCATGGACATTTGCGACACCCGTAGGGTTGCAAATACGTTGCCACCTCTAAATAAAGTGGGCCCCGGCTGCCTCACTCACCAGACCAAACGTAGAAGTATAACACTTCCACTTCACGCCGGTCTTCTGTGGAGTCCTGGTACTTAACCGAACGGACCTGCTCATTCGTGCAACAGGGAAGCTGATGCGTGGCCCTACAATAGTGAAGAGGTGAAAGCGTCGAGTTAATATAAATTTCAAATGATTTCCAACATGCTTTAAGTGTATGTGTGTACCTGCTTGAATTAACCCCATTCCCGTTACTTTTTTTCAGCATTTCAAATTGGCGTGAGATCTTTACCGAACCCGCCAATAGAGTACACTGTATTTGATGTCAACCGTCCCTTCGTGTTTTTCATAACACTAAATGACACCATACTTTTCAGTGGTATAAAAGTACAGTAAAGAAACGAAGGAAAAGGAGCCAAAATTATACTATTATCCTTAAGTTTTTCTTTGTAAATAATATTTCTTTTGTTTTTAATCTCTCATGAAATTTATATGTTTAACTAACTATTAAAATATAACATATTTTGTATAGGGTAACTATTTAATAAAGATATTTCTCAAAGGATAATTTATTTAAATTACCAACAAATAAATTTCTTCTTAATTTAAGGTTTATATTATATTAATGTGGTATTTATTAATAGTATTACAAAAAAGTTAGAATATGATGATGGGCTATCATTTATTCGATCTGTTTTTTATACTTATTTCTTAGGAGTATAAATAAAAGTAAAAAAATAATTATTTCAAAGGATTAGTAACTAATATCAAAAAGTAAAAACGTCAGATATTTGAATGTGTATGCTTAATACATTATTTCATAAGTGTGATAAAATTGTAGTGTGTACGTTTATTGCATAATTTCTTAAGTATAATAAAATTTTCATTTCTTTGAAGTTTAGTACAAGTTAGGTGTCAAAAATGTGTATTAGATAATTATCAACAATAAAATACATGTTTTCAGTATGTTATTTTGGAAATTTTATGCGTTGCAAAGACATGATAGCACTGCACTTTACGTGACTGCTCGATTTTTTTATAATAAAGTACTTCTATCCACACACACAGAAAATGTTATATAATAAAGAATATTTAAGACTGGTTCATCAAAATATTCAAGGTTTTTTTTTTTGGTTACTTCTAAATCGATTTTTTTTTTAAATAGCATTGATGTGGATGTTTTTATGTATTACTGAAATTGGTCGGTCACTTCAGCAGAACAACCCCGTAGACCTGCTGCTTTGTTAAATTCAATAGTGTTAAACTTTTTTACAATATCAGAAAAGAAGTCTTGTTACAATAGAGTATTCACAAATTATGATTTAGTCGGTGGAAGGAAGGCACGATAACAGGGCGTGTCGCACCGCTGGCTATTATTTCATTTAACAATTTTTGGGTGATAAAGCTGAATGATAAACGTAAACCACCAAAAAATATAAAATTTGAATAACGTATTGTTTAATTTAAATTTAATTATAAAAATATAATCATACATTAGTAAGTAAGTAAGTAACAGCCTATACATGTCCCACAGCTGGGCAAAGGCCTATACAGAGGGTATCAGGGCATAGTCCACCACGCGGCCCCACTGCGGATTGGCGGACTTCACATATCTTCGAAAAATTTTTTTTGTTATTATTTCGGAAATATGCAGGTTTCCTCACGATGTTTCCATCACCGCGGAGCACGTGATAAGTCAGCACTTAAAGTTAAAAACTTCATTGGTGCCGGCACCGGGGATCGAACTCGGGTTGCTCGAATATATTTAATTAAAGGCGAGCGCCCGGACACTGAGCTATCACGGATAATCATACATTATGTATATAATATACGTATAAATATAAAGTTATATTAATGAATACACTAAGGATTATAGCCCCTGGGAATAGGTTAATCACTCTCAAGCTATTTCTAAAAAAAAATTATGTTAAATATTTTAATATTTTGGTAATTTTTCGTCAACGGATGTTGTTGCGGGCTATACAGGGTGTTACAGAAAGATGTTGTAACATTTAAAGCCGTGTATATATATCAGACTTTGAATGAAATGGCATAATTTTAAAATACGAATCTAAGCATTTTTTGACGATAAAAATTAAAAAATTAATTAACTGTAACAACCCTGATTGTAGAAGTCACTGACCGCGCATCGGTGTTATCACTCCAAACTCACACACGCATACATCTGATCGCCCGACTTATTCCCCTCTCCCTCCACTCCCCGTTATGTCATTACCCCACCTCGGTAACCTTGACCCCACCCGTCGCTAAACTGCCATGACGACCGCATCGCGCTGCAATTCGCGGCGATGCTTAATAATAAAATCTAATTGACATTTCTTTTGATTCCTGAATAAGTATTCACTATCGGGAAATTAAAGTAAGACACTGTTTTTATTACTTTTATTATTCTAAGTACATGTCCGCGTCGGACATAAAAACAATTTTTACATGGCATTATTAATAGTATCCTATAGACGGTCAAACATATCCACGATTTTAACAATCACTTATAACTAATTACTATTGAAATTTTGGAATAAACATTAAAGGCTTTACAATGACATTTTGAAAGGTAACAAATCCTACAACGCCGATGAGTTTATTCAACACGACATCTATGATACATAATCGGATAACAATAACAAGAATATTTTTTAATTAAGATCAGTGTAAGGTATAAAATGATGTTTATTAAATACCTAGACTTTCTAATGAGATCAGCGTTTACTGAGTCAACCGCACACCCGTGCTTATCGGTTTCAGTTAGATAGCGGGCCACTATTATTTCACTGTAATAGCATGTCAGAACATAGACATTGTCACAACTTAAAACACACCGAAGTCCGAATAAAAATTCCCATAAAACCGGAGCGCTTCTTCATTTGCAAACAAACGACGCGTTCACGGTCAGGCGCTTCGGGCAATCGCTCATTCCAGCTCCTTTTTGTTAACTCAATGATCATCAGATCTAAATTTATTTCAGCATTCTTGCTTGCTGTTCACTTGTTTCGGCTTGTGGCAAATGCTTGTGGTGCAGTTGGTGTGCGTCAAATAGTACGCGCATACGTCCGAACTCCAGAACATCTTTGCAGAAATAATTCGTAGGTAGAAGCGACAGTTGCGTCAAAAGTTGGTGTACTCGTAGTAAAGTTCAAAATAAATCGATGGTAGTTCTATCCGCAGCACTGAATAATATCATGTAGTAATTACTGAGCATATGACTATGTCTGTGACAACTTTTATCAATAATAAATCGATAATTAAAAAATAAAAATCATTAAATAGACTTCATGCCTAAATGGCTGGAGAGTAACTGATTCGACAATTTAAATAACACAAAGAAAGCGACTTATTTACCTACCAAAGCGGCTTATGTAGTTAAACACATAAGCAACGTTTGTGCAGGACTACTTTGCCGCGCCGACAATAAGGTTACCATGTCTACTGATTAAAATATTAGGACGGGGGTTTAATAGGCAATAAAGTAATAAACTTTTTTTTTTTCGGTTTCTTTTAATAGTATTTTACCATTGACTACTACAAGAACTAATCAAATAACACTTTAAGAAACTAATTGACCTTCTTTAAAATATCACAAAATTCAAACATAACCGTTGTGACTATTTAATCGCCTTACCTAATTTAGAAACTTTTGGACTCATTTGCAAGTATTTTATAAGTTATTTTTTATTTGTATTGTTTTAACCATTCCATTTCACTACTTCAATCAAGGCGACACACAACGCTGGAAAATAAAAAACCTTAATTTGATTATTTACAAATCCATGAGACAGTATGAAAATTTCTAATAAAAATACTAAAGTAATACTAGCTTGCAATTTAAGTATCAATTTTTCTAATTTTCTAACTCAAAGTAAAGACTAAGGAAGATCGGGATATTCCGCGAGAATCGGTACATCTGGTAACTGTACTTGAAACGAGCGCGGTAAGTACAAAGGTGGTCTTTGTTAACTGTTACACGCGCCGACAATCCACCTAACTTAGATTGATGAAAGTGACATAAAGGTCATTCAAAACACGTGTAATTGGTTCGAAGTATCACAACTGATAGTTTTGGATCTATGAAGTTCTATTTTTATACTTTTATTTCTGAAGAATTTGTATACACTTATTGTGAATTAATACATGGAATTTTATACTGAAGCTAATAAATAAATTTTCAAAATATTCATTTTAAATAAGACCTGTAACATTTAGTTCACTTTTTGATTTATATTGGTTTGTAATTTTATTTTTTCTTAAAAAAATTCCCTTAATTTAGGATAAAATTATCCTGTGTTGATATCCGTATCCCTATAGCCGTGATAGCTCAGTATCCGGGCACTCGCCTTTAATTCAATACACTCGAGCAACCTGAGTTCAATCCCCGGTGCCGGCACCAATGAGGTTTTTAACTTTAAGTGCTGACTTATCACGTGCTCCGCGGTGAAGGAAAACATCGTGAGGAAACCTGCATATTTTCGAAATAATAACAAAAAAATATTTCGAAGATATCTGAAGTCCGCCAATCCGCAGTGGGGCCCTTATACCCTCTGTATAGAGGCCTTTGCCCAGCAGTGGGATATGTGTAGGCTGTTACTTTACTTTTTATCCTATGTTGTAAGGACATTTTACAAACATAAATTTCACGCAGACAAAAACACCCAGATGCGAAAGAAATATCTGTGGGCCACATAAATAGTTGTCCCGTGTGGGAATCGACCCCAAGACGCCTGACGCCGAAGCCTTGTCAACTGCGCCACGTAGTCATTGAATTGTGAAACGAGTATTTTAAATCATATTTTCATTTTTGCTCACAAAAATAACAGCTACGATTTGTTTATAAAACCTACCAGTCGTCTGATCGAATGTCGTGGTTGTAACATGTAACCGTTACTTTACTATGCATAATATTTTTTGTATTAGAGGCTTCCTGCTCTAAAATAGTAGAATAAAGTATTGATTTGGTAAGACAATAATTATAAAAATCAATGAGACAAGACATTTATTATGTTTTAAAATTTTAGTCTACCTAATAATACAAAAAATTTAAAAATATGACAATAATATTAAATATACGGCTTCCTTCCATGAATTTATGCTAGCCAATGATCTTCAAAAAAAGAAAGTCTATTTATGTAAGTACTAGAAATTTGGTCATAAACTAAAGTTAGTGTTTGGTTGATCGATTTCAGATAAAGATTACTTATAATATCATTGTCACACTAATTGTAATACATACAGTCTATGCTGTTGATAAAAATGCTCTTTTTATCAACAGCATAGACTATTTTATAAGTACATATTGAATGAAATCATTATCTTTTCATTAATCTATTTATATTATTATACCTTTACTAGCAACCCGCCCCGGCTTCGCACGGGTGCAA